TGGAATTGAGGAAAAATAAAGTTGGAAATGTTGATCCAACTTACTTTAAAAGCTTGGTAGGAAGTTTAAGGTACTTGACATGTACCAGACCAGATATACTCTACGAAGTCGGACTGATCAGTAGATATATGGAGAAGCCAGACCAGTCTCATTTGAATGCAGCCAAGAGAATTCTTCGCTACATCAAAGGCACAATAAATGAAGGTATGTTTTATACCTCAAGTACAAATTTCAATCTTACTAGCTACTCGGATAGTGATTGGGGTAGAGATCTGGATGAAAGAAAAAGTACAACAGGGTTTGTATTTTTCATGGGAGATACATCTTTCACATGGTCATCCAAGAAGCAATCAATTGTCATGTTATCAAGCTGTGAAGCTGAGTATGTTACCGCCAACTCAGTTGTATGCCATTTAATATGGTTAAGGAATTTGCTGAAGTTTTTGGGATTTCCTCAAGAAAATCCTACAGAGATTTATATTGATAATTGATCAGCGATTGCATTGGTAAAGAATCCGGTGTATCATGAAAGAAGTAAACATATTGATACACGTCATCACTTTATCCGAGAGCATGTAAAAAACAAAGAAGTCGAGCTGATATCCTGCAAGACAGATGATCAAGTTGCAGATATCTTTACCAAGCCATTGAAAAGAGAAGTATTTATCAAATTGAAATTCATGCTTGGAATGACATCCCTCGATTGAGTTTAAGGGGGAGATTTGTTGAAGTAAACTCAATCCAGAAGGTTAAGGAAGGCAGCCACCAGCTGTCACCGCCCAGCCACCAACCGACCAGCCGCCAGCTGCATGCCGCCAGCCGCTTTCACACCATCGGCCACAACCGTCTTCACACTTGAAGGTTGAATTTTCTTGTTTTGATTTCGTGTATAAATAGATAGCTAAGCTTATACAATTATGTGTGGAGAGATTGAGAGAAACACTAGAGAGAAAGAGAGAAAGAAAGAGGGGTTGTTATTGTAAACTTTTCATTATTGTAAGCTTGTTGTTCTTGAAATAAAAGAGTGTGTTTTATCCCCTCCGAGTGTTTTAAAGCCACCACAAGTGGTTTCTCCCACCAACACTGCCAGAGTCATGCTATCATTTTAAGAGAAGAAACAGCATGAACATGATTTTCATTAGAACTATCTGTAGTCTTAGTTATGTTTCAAAAGAAATTGAAAGGGCTAAAGGTGTTTGGAGGCTCAACAACGGGCGTAGCAGCATTGGGGTCTGCTAGAACAGCTTCTTGATCATCAGAAGCCTTAAAGGCACTTGGGACTAGCGTTTTGCTTGCCCTAGCACACATGCATGATGTCTTGACTTTTTACAATTTTCTTAATAAAAACTTTTTATAAAAAAAAATTAGATTTCTATCAGAAAGAGGTACAGAGGGCGCCTCCTCTAAAAATAAACAAAGCCCTCCTTGCATGAAGGGCGACTAATGCATTCTATACATTAACCCAGCCATTGTTAATTTTGCTGGCATCAAGCTGGAACATCGACCAACATGGGCATTTTCAAGCCCATTCTAGATGATTCTTGGAAAATTCCCTACAGAGGGGAAAGGACGAAGCAGCTTGATCTAGATTGTTTCTTTACATGAACTGCCACCACACCATGTAAGTATTTCATGGCGTCTCCTTGTTGCTCTATTTTCTTGCTTTCATTCAATGATATCTTGGTTCTTGGCTTTCCATTTTTTTCCCCGCTCTTTAACAATGCAATGAGTTGCGTGAAGTAAGTTCAACGTCCTGAAAAAAATTTACAGAGCATAAAGATGTTAGCACTAAATGAAAATAATGGAAATATTGGTGCATCGATCATTTACTTATTTATTGAAAATGATGGAATAGAACTGGAAAAACACCAATTTCATACGGTATCGGTAGAAAAATACTTCCAAAACCACATTATGGAATACACTCTAACGTGATCTATTAAGTAACCCATCAATCTTGTATTGAAAAGGTTAGAGCGAGTATTACTTCTTTTTTTAAGGCCAATTAGCCGCCGAGCAGCTGCGTTTATGTTTGCTTGTGATTTTGCCATGAATTAAGGTTAGAGCAAGTATTACTTCTTTTTCATGTTTTGTTCATAAGCCCTCCCTTTCTTTAATCCCTCGTCTCTTGTAAATTGGTGCTCGAAGACACTAAAACCTCATCTTTTTTGTTGCTGATTGTGCCTTTTCTTTGGGCTATTGCAGTACCAGATATTGCTTTTGATTTTCTGCATCGCTTCCCAAATTTAGCTAAGACATTTGATGAAGTTCTGAAGTCGAACTTTGTTTGGTTTGTCTCTCCTGCCTCGGATATTTCCCAGTGACGGTCGACTTGCATTTCGGCAGCAATGGATTTTATTCATGTTAGTGTCTCTTCCCTCCATTTTTCCTCCTCAAATTTCTCTTTATTTCCTCTATTCAAAACGTATATTGTTCTATGTGTTGGAGATCATCACATCATAATTGATATACATTTTAGAGAGAGAAGAAAAAAAGTCATTTGACCGCTCTTTTTTTCACAGGTGAGATATTATTTTTTACCAATGAAAAAATAGAACTTTAAACTTTTTCGTGTTTTCACATAAAAATATTTAAAAATAAATTATGAATATATCTAATTAAATAAATTAAAAATTATTTGTGTAAATATAAATATCTATGTTTCATTCATTCGTTATCTCATCTATTAAATTTTCTTTTCTTGCTTGATCATTACACTTAACAGAAATATATGATGCCAATTCTACATGTGTGATGAGTCGAATATGCGTCTCTTCTAGGCTAAACAAAGTAAGACTTTTGGCAGGTAAGAAATTAGCTCAAATTGTACAATATCTACTCCTACATTACTCATCCCACGAACTACAGAACAATCATTATATTTTATGAAAAAAACTAGAAAACAATGCTTCAATATTCTCTCGATAAATGTTCAAAAGGACATGTGTTGCATTGTAATTTGCGAGACGAAATGTATTCGGTACCATCGCTTCAATATTTTGCTGTTGAAGATGCCCGGTGCATATGCGGATATGAAAGTCCCAACGAGCTAGGAGGGAAATTTGCATCAATAGGAAAAGAGCTCATCTGAACAAAAAGGTCTTCGTTTTTATTTTAATATTAAAAAAAAAACAGAAGCTTGGTGATGCTGCTGGCACTTGCTCCGAATTAAAATAAGGACTTAGCTGTTTTTGCTTTTATCCTTTTGTACCAAAGTGAAAAGGAAAAAGAAAAGATATAATTAATAATTGATTAAATAAATGAATCAACTGGGGATTTACTAAGCAACCACTTGCCATATGTTAAAAGAGAAGGGAAGTTAGTCAGCTTTGAGGCTACCTATATAATTAGCAACATTTTTTTTTAACAGTAATAGAGTAGAATTAATATTTAAAAAGATGATGACAGAATAAAAAAAAGTTTGCAAGAGAGCATTCAAAAGAAGGAGAAAACAAATAAAATATTAAATTAATCAGTCTAATTCACGATACATTTCTAATCAAATCAGATCCTGTGTAACTGAAATTTATAACAAAATTTTTTAATTAAAAAGTAAACATTAAAATAAAAAATCATATCTTAAATAAGAGTCTTAGAATAAAAAATGAGCTGATTGCAAACTAATCAAATAGATTAATAAAAACTTTGCAAAGAAAAGCAATATTCCAACATTAAAAGTTGCATTTAACCTACCTAAGCCATTCCTAAAGATTTTAATTATGATCCCTAGTTAGATAAATTAAATACTCGAATCAGAATCTAAATTCAAAATCCCACATAATAGTACAGTAATAAAATAAATGATGAATAGTCCCAATCACCTTAAAAAAAAAAAACAAATAGCATTATAATTTATAATCTTCCTCTCTGTTAAAAAACTCTTAATGAGACTATCTAAAAATTTATAACCTGAACTGAATAGGTGCTGGAAGTATCAAATTCCCATATTTTTCTATCTTCACTTTCAGAAAAAACAATGCAGCGCTTCATCTCTCCAATTAAGCTTTCCCGCTTGAGAGAGAGAAGTGAAGGAATTACAAGTAGCAGTGTGAGCTGCTACCACACCATGTAAGTACTTCGTTGGATCTTATTGCTGCTCTTTTCTTACTTTCCTCCAATGATTTATTGGTTCTCGGCTTTCCATTTTTTTCTCCACTCTTTAATAATGCAGTGAGTTGCATGAAGCAAATTCATTGTCCTAAAGAAAATTTGCGTAACATGAAGATCTTACCACTTAAAAATAATGGAAATATTCTTGCATCAATTATTTACTTATTTATTGAAAATGATGGAATCGATGCTTCATCAGTCGAAAAACACATCCAAAACGACATTATCAAACACGTTGTAACGTGATCCAGTTATGTATCATGCCATCAATTTTGATTTAAAACCAGTGGTTCAAATGTAAAGAGGGCAGTGCAGGACACAGTTACCTTTACTCTTTATTTGTCCTTTTGTCTGTTTCCTGTATCTTTCTTTTTTCTTCCATGCAAACAAGATGATAAAAGGTAGGACCTTAAGACAGGAAGCAAGGAATTTCTGTTCTCTTTTCCAGCAATATTTCGTATTTATTTAGAACACGGAAAGTATGGAATCTGTCATCTCCCATATCCCTTTCTTCTTTGGTGGAACAACTTGTGGACTCTACTGTTATGTGCGGGTCATGCAGGGATGGATCCAGACTTAGCAAAGTACTGGGAGATAAAATAGTAGATTAACTTTGGTTTTTTGGGTTTGGGGATTCTGTAAAAGTACCATAGAAGTTCTTACAAGGCTAGGGGGCAGTTTGGAAACTTCTCAATTTTTGGAGGGTTAGGGTGGTTGCTAAACCTGGTCTAGTGGGGTAAACCGGAAAATCCAGGACTCAAAACCTTATCCCGACTGAATTTCTAGTTGAACGATGCTAGACACGTCCCGGTTTACTCAGGGTTGTACGGTTTAAAAGGGTGGTGATAGACTCAACTACCCCAAACATGCAAGTCAACTCTCCTTGCATCTTGACGAGGGTTCTTCTTTAAAGACAGGGTTTTTTTTTTTTTTTTTTTGAATCTTATGAATCAAGAAAATTGCCCCGGTGAATAAAACCCTGACACACTAATAAAAGAATAAAACAAAAAAAAGGAACAAACCAGATCTGAGGCTAACCCTGATGATACTCATATATAGATTAGTCAATGAACATATAACTTCATTTCTTTACTCACCAATGTCGAAGCCCTTCCCACAAATTTTGGCTCAATAGATCTTGGCATCACCAGTAGTTTCTCTGATCGATTCTTACCCCACATTGTACACAGATTCTAACATGACGACAAACATTTCCCCATCTTCAATTGTTGTTGAAGTCCTAAGAGGTGATAACTATGATGATTGGAGTGCCTGCATGAAAAGCTACATGTTAGCTCAAGACCTTTGGGATTTTATTGAGCCTACTGTTCTTCAAGAAGGTGATCAAGAAGTTGACTCTAAGCCTATTGATCATCAAGAAGGTGACTCTAAGGCGTTGAGAAAAAAGAATGCTGCAGCTTTACATGCAATTCAAATTTCTTGTGCACCACACATACTTTCCAAGATTAGGAGCATCACTTCAGCCAAAGTTGCCTGGGATGCTCTAGCCAATTTGCAACGACAACATTCACCAAACCACAAAGAGCAATCTGTTGAAGCAGAGCCAGCAGAAGATGATGAGTCACAAGGTTCAGAGCAATCTGATGAAGCAGAGCCAGCAGAAGATGATGAGTCAAAAGGTTCAGGTATACCATGACCTCATTATCTTCCTTAATTTGTTAGATTTCCAATCACTTCGATCTCTTGATGTTAACACGGGAGAGAATAAAAACCTTGGCAGGAGCGGTGAGCAATGAATTGAATGGTCCCTTGACAAAGCTGTACACATAATGGAGACTGGGATGCCATAAAAACCTATCTTAGCCGATATCCAAATGCAAAAAAGGCCAAGATTAAACCCTATGGTAGAACTGCCCTTCATGTAGCAGCTTCTTCTGGAAATCTGAGAGTTGTGGAGGAGTTGGTGACGTTGATGTCAGTAGATGAATTGGCAATCAAAGATCATTTCGGCTACACAGCTCTTTCTATTGCTGCCAGGGTTGGAATAAGAAAGATGGCAGAATGTTTGGTGAGCAAGAACGAAAATTTGGTTACCTTCGCAGATAGATTACAAAATATCCCACTAGTTGACGCATTTGGAGGAAGTAAAATGGATTTGGTTCATTATCTATACTCTGTTACTCCAATTCAATTTCTTTTTCAAGGCAATGTCGACGATGGATCTAGCATCCTAGAAAATGCTATATTTGCTCAAATGCTTGGTAAGAGACTTTACCCATTAATTACTCATTTTCCCTTTTTTTGTCTATTTTTTTTCATGCTTTTTTCATGAATTTTCCCTTTCGAGTAAATTATTATTTATTTCCTGTAATTTAATAAAAATAATTAATTACTATGGTTTTAAGAAATATATGAATAATCCTTTTGTTTTTAACTTAAAATCATTTTGTCAATTTCATGTGATTTTTTAATTATTTATTCTTCTTCTTTTAAATAATAGAAAAGGAAAGGAAAATCAGGTAAGATGGGAAAAGAAGGCAATAATAAATTGATATGAAACAAAATGACTTTTTAATAATTTCTTCTTCTTCTTTCTTGTTGCTTCTTATGCTATTGCAATACCAGATATTGCTCTTGATTTTCTGCATCGCTGCCCACGTTTTGCTACTCCAACGGATGAATTAGTTCTGAAGTCGACCGCTTTGTTTTGTTTGTCTCGCATGGCTCAAATATTCCCAAGCGCAAGTCCACTTGCATTTTGGCAGCAATGGATCTATTCATGTTAGTATCTCTTCCTTCGATTTTTCCTCCTCCCATTTCTCTTCATTTCCTCAGCCAATCTTTTTTACGTATATCGTTCTAAATGTTTTTGGAGATTACCACACCGTCACAAAGAAAGAAAGCAAGGTTCTATTTGATATAATTTTTGTCAATTGATATGAGTTATTTTGTAATTTTTTACCCATAGAAAAATTGTAAATATATTTAGTTGGAAATAATTTTTGGTTTAATTCAAAATTTATTACAAAACTGAGTCAAAATTTTAACGTGATCTAAAGTTTAGGAAAAAAATAAATCTAATTTACGAATTTCAACTTATAATATATCTATTCTTTAAAATAATTACTTTAAATTATTTTTATCAAACATATTTCTAAAATAATGTTATTTGATCCTTTTTTATTTAAATGATCTATAAAAAAACAACTTTTAACCTATGATTCATGTTTAAAAAAATCATTTTTTTCATATGTTATGATAGGCAAACTTGAAGTTATATTCACTAAGATTGACTTGATTCTAAAATCATGGCAGGTATTCCCTTGCAATCAATTGCTACAACTGATGACAATGTTCGTATTAATATGCCTGATCAAAGCCTAAGTGAGTCGAAGAACATTATCCTCCAAGGTATTTGCACAAATCTCTCTCTGTTTTTGTTCCCTCTCCTTTAAAGGGGTATGGCAAGCACAGACATACGTATAGAAGTCCAATTGGGCCGCATGGCCCTTCAAGATTGTAAAAACTTTGGACAGTTTCTTGATATATTTATTTCTATTTTCAAAAAATATAAACTTTTTTGAACCCTAATCCAAGTATCCGATCCCTTATTCAATCCCAAATCCGATAAATCTCATTTGTTTTAAAAAATCATTACATTGAAAACTTAATACATGCAAGTTTGATTAGCATACATGTACGCTGCTTGTGATAGTTTCTCTAATTTGTTTTTGTCCAACTTTTCAGTGTCAAGCAAATTGCGTGGGTTTGCAATAAATCTCCTCGCATTCTTAGGTAAGCAAAATATATCCGACATCTCTTGATTTCTATCATCATTATCATGGCTTTATCTGATCACTCTTTGATGGTTGATCCAGGAATCAAGAAAATATACGATTTGAAGAAGATCCACATTTATTCAGATAAAATTCTACGGTGTGTGTGTGAGTATATATCAACTCTGGATTTTGAGGAATGCGTCAAGGCAGATGTACATAGAGCATTCCACAATGCTGTAAGGAATGGCATGGTTGAGTTTGTTACTGAGGTGATTAAAGCTTTTCCTCATGTAATGATTCATGGAGATGAAAACAACAGGAACCTATTTATGTCCTCGATTGCAAACCGGCAAGAAAAAGTGTTCAGCCTTTTCTATGGACTGGAAGCAGAAAGAGAAGGATTTGTTTCCCTCGTTGATAGCACTGGAAATACAATGTTACATTTGGCAGCAAAACTATCACCTCCTTCTCAACTAGCTCGGATCTCTGGTGCAGCTCTCCAGATGCAGAGAGAGCTACATTGGTACAAGGTGAGCTTTCTACACTCAACATCTGTAAAAAAAAATTGATTGAACCTGATTAAGACCTGATTGATTTGAATTTAGGGCACCCATTTACTCATTTTCATTGTTACCCAAAAAGGCTGCAATTTCCCCTGCTAGTGGAGATTGGTGGATCCACATATGGAAAAGGAATCTTCAACAGAAAAATGAAACGCTGGTCAAAATCTTCAACTGATGGACTGTTAGAGGTTAACAGTTTATTGTCCCAATCTGTTTAGCAATTCCTATTTCCCCGGGATGAGCTGCTTTCTGTTCTACCATTCTGTTAGCAAGTCCTATTCTTATGGGACTAGTTGTTTTCTGTTCCTCGTCTGTTAATAAGTCCTACTTATTGTGATAGACTGTTAGAGGTTAACAGTTTATTGTGCCAATCTGTTTAGCAATTCCTATTTCCCCGGGATGAGTTGTTATTTTGATTGCTGCATCTCTTTGTAAAAGGCTATATAAGCATGCTGTTTGTGATGAATAAACAAGAGACTCATCTCTTTGTAAAAAGACTTGTGTGTGATGTAGATTGTTGCATCTGTTTGTAAAAGGCTATATATGTTAGGTTTGTTACCATTTCATGTGCAGCAAATGGACGGCACCAACCATTGATTATTGACAGCCATCATTGTTGAATGAGCTGGAGTTAGTGGCCATCAATATTGACAATAAAGCAAAAAGAGCTGTCATGAATGCCTATAAATAGAGGTATATGTGAGAGAGTAAAATGAGAGAGGGAAAGTAGAGCAAAAAATATAAGAAATGTAGGAGAGAGTGGGCTGCCAAGACAGCAAGTAGTCGTTGTCATTGCAGCACTAAAAAGAGAGAAATAGAGTGAGGTTGATAGTTTCTAAAAAGAGGATGATTCCTCCTCCTCTATTGTTGTAAATCTTGTACTCTTTCTATATAATGCAATGGCTTTTCCCGTGGATGTAGGCGATTTGCCGAACCATATTAAATATTGTGTCAGTGTGCTTGGCCTCCTATGAGCAAATATCAAAACATCACCTGTCGGAATTCCCAACAATTGGTATCAGAGC